TGTCACTGTAAGATATATTAGATTTAAGTTGCTGAATACAAACTTCATTCTTATTAATATTGCAACATTTAGAAGAATTTTTTTAAAAATCGGGCTCGACAATTTTTTTCTACATTGATTAACGTTTAATTAAAAAGAAAAATTCATCCCGGTTGCTATGAAATTGTGGTCTCTAGCGATTTTTGAACAGTAAATTTCGATTTGTTCCCACTGTGCGCCGTCTCCCGGCGTGCGCGAACAAAACAGATGCATGTGTGTGTAAAAACAGATAATTTTTTTTCTCTCTCTCTCTCTCTCTCTTTTTCATTTAGGCTGACGCAACATGTAACGCATGGCGTATTTACAGCTACATAATGTAGCTGATTACCGGTCTGATTACGCAACGAATTACGGCACACAGACACGGATGTCAAGCGTGAGATCACGAAGTGCAGGTACCAAGCCAAATCTTTTTCTTTTTTTTCTCAATTTTTTCGGCAAGTGAGAACGCGGCACAATCACAACTGAATGCTGATGAGGCTCCTCGATTGGTACTTTAACGGTCAAGAGTCCATTAATAGGCATTCTTTATAAAAGTTATGATTATAAAATCACAAATATATATTTGTCTTTATTCTCGTAATCTGTAGAATTGTAACGCTTTTTCGAGGCCAAAGTCGGTAAAGTATTAAAATCGAAATCATATAAAACTACGGACAGTGAGAGCCAAATCGCAGGTCTAGAAATCATCTATATTTATATGTATAAAATAGAATGTCTTTCTGTACGTTCCTTATTAATTTCTAAACTGATGTGGGCCAAATTTTGCACAGTTATTTTCTAGGACTTTCATGCGGAAAATATGGCTACATGAAACCTGAACAATCCACCCTTTCCTCCTGATTTCATCCCTTTGACACTTTGTGATGTAAGTTTAGATATTTTATAGATATAAGAAGCTAGAGTAACACCGTAGTTCAAGCTGGCTTATAATAAATTTTACAGACAGGTACACCGAGAGAAAGAATATTTAAAAAATAAGAAACATTTGTTCAATATTTGTTTGCTAATAATATATTTATATTTATATATTATTTTTGTTATAATATATATCTTTTTACACTGAGAAAAAATTGTTCTCAAGTGAGAAAATATATATTTTCCTAAAACGCCATTTTCATGAAAGCAATTGTTTATTCTGTTTAAGTAAGATAATTTACATTTACGCACAAATAGGTTGTTAATACCGGAAAATATCTTTTGTTTATCAGATATTTTTTCTCTCTCAGTGTATCAATCAGTTAAATGTGTGTCGATTAATGAATTAAAATTTGCTTCGACTAAAACAATCGACAAATAAATAGTCAAAATTAATTGCCAATCATAAAAAATCACAAATGATTCCATCGATTAATGAAAAATTGTTAATCAAGCTTGTTAATGCGATTGATTATACACTGATTAATATTAATAATGAATTTTATCTCACGCACAATCGATTAACATGATTAATATTAATTAATTTCATCAATCCATTAAATTATTTATGACTTTATACATGACGACTGATTAATTTTGTTGATTGATTCACCGATTATTGCAGTCAAAGACACTTGCAATCGACTAATGCTCGACGCTGACCCGAATCGTCCCTCGTTTAAACATAATTTCAGCGATAAATTGCAAAAAAAGAATCACCGAGTCTCCCTCGCCATGGCGCTCGCGATAACGACAACGGAAACGCGATTTTTTTTCCTCGTCGGTTAAAATCGACGGTACGACCTGCTCTTTTCGCGCTCGAGCATCGGGAACGCGTGGCGATAAATATAAAAGCCGCGATTTATGGGGCTCGCTGGTGGGGCCCGATAGGTGTCGTCAGTCATCGCGACGTCGAGCGTCGGTGGCAAAATGCATCTGGCCCGCGGCCAAAATTCAAAAATAAGTCGAAATTCGAAGGAATCGCCCGATCGTCAGTGGGCCGTGCTCCGCTTCGTCGTGCGCGCCGCTCACTCCCCGACGTGAACAACCGATTTATGCGACCGCTATGACGAGGATGGCCTCCTCTGATCTGATGTGTCTCCGCGACGCTATTAGATTTTCCAGATTTCTTCGTCACTAGATCCTAACGAGTCTCATAGGCAAGAGAAACGTCTCCAGCCGACGACTTCCTTGAAGACGACGACGCCGAACCACTACCTTCTTTCTCCCCGATGAATGTGTCGATAAAAACGCTCAGGCACAGTCATCTCATCCAGAATGACTCACAGGATGAGCCAGACTCGTACAGAGGGGGCGTCGCGCGATCAATGCGGAAACCTCACTGTAAATCTGAAATTATATAAAAGCAATTCAGCAGCACACACACGAAAAAAATACATACTGCATTCAAGTAAATGTCACTTGATTCAAGTATTTCATAAGTTTATGCAATGTATTGTCCAGAACAACCTCCGAAACTCTCATAGAGGCATAGTGTGGATTAAGGTAAAATCCTATACCGTTTTGCGATATTTGCAATAATTATCGAGATATTAATTAAAGAAGATTTGTGTATGATCACGAGAGATATAGTAAATGAGCTGTAGTGGCGACATCTGCCGTCGTGTGCTAGTATATTAGGTAAAACTGAACAAAAAAGTCCTCTACCTTTTTCCTAATAACTTTGTAGATTTCTAGTTATTAATTAGAGAGTATTAATATATTATCGTGAGCAATCATCCACTAGATTTCTTTGATTAATAACTAAAAATCTATAAAGTTATTGAGAATATGGTAGGTGACTTTTTATGCAGTTTGACTTAATGTACACAATGGCAGACGTCGCCACTACAAATCATCTACCATATCTCGAGTGATCATTCACAAATCTTCTTTAATTAATATCTTGATATAGGATTTTACCTTAATGTTCACCTTAATTCGTATCAAGCGACACGGTAGTGTCGCGAAGCCAAGTGCAAGCGCGAAGGAACGGGCTCGCGCCCGACTATATTTACTTACGCCGTAACATTAGTTGATTGCACACCAAATTTGTTTGACTATAACGATTGAATCGATGAGATTCTAAATAAGCTCAATCGATTCTATGGGTTTACATTACTTAATAAAACTGTTTTTACTTTTGCTCTACGTTCTCCAGAAGTTGAGATATCTTCCCTCAAAGTCCGAAATCATTAAATTTCACGACTAATGCCCGTATTCTGAGCTCTCTTTTAATTATAAAAGAGCCTCTAAAAATAGCTTATTAACTTTTTGATTGGCTATAAGTCACTTTTAGAGGCTTATTTATCGTTAAAAGAGAACTCAGAATACGGGCTTAAGGAATTCTTTGTCTAAGAAAATGTCCAGTTTAACTTTTTTATCGTCAGAGGCGCTACGGCTCAGATCAGCTTGGAGTGTGTTCGAAAACTCGGTATCAGTTGGTGTGTTCTTTTTAGCTGCACTACTGTACTGGTGCAATAAGTAGAGCGAGACAAAATATACTTTCTTACTCTAATTTACTGCACCAATTCAGCAGTGCAGTTAAAAAGAACAGACCAAGTAGTATTTACATTAGTTTTAATAAACAGTGTTATTTACGATAAGGTTAGTATAATTGTTGATAACTATAGTGAGTGAATGATTTGGCTGTAAATATTTTGGAGATTATGTGATGATATATATATATCATAAAATAATGTAATATAAAAGAATACGAATTATATGCAATATAATATATATAATAATTCCAACCAAATATAATAGCGATTTCGGACCGACTTGCAATTTTTTAACTAAGTTGTAAACGTCGGAATTAAATAAAATCACTGCTTCATTAACAAATGTCTCATTTTGCAACCAAGCATGATAGCGATTTCGGACCGACTCGCAATTTGTTAACTAATACGTAATCAATAGACTTGTTTTTTTCGAAAAACTTCCTGAATTGATGTATATTGGTGCAGTAAATTAGAATAAGAATAAATATATATTGTTTCACTCCAACTTATCGCACTAGTAATACACCAGTTTAGGAAGTTTGTCAAGAAGAAACAGACCTAATCTATATAGACGTAATCTTGAAGAGACAAAACCTTGTCCCGCGGAACTGACGCAACCATCTTTCACCCTCGCTCTCCAAGGCCAAAACCATGTAACTTCCTCGGCGGCAAGCATACTGAAAAAAATCTCTCGGTTACAAAAATGATTATAGTACGTTTGCTGTTTGATGATCATGGAAGAAACAAATAAAATAGTTACAAGTCACTTTTCATCACTTATTATTTTAACAAACATTCATTGTCTAAAATACAAATAACATTTATTCTCGTCTATTTTAAGTCAAGTTAGTTATGTCTCCATTACAGAAGTGTTGCTTAGAGCAGTAAATCGGAAGTAACAAGCAATTTGTTTCCACTAGGGTGTTATTTGCTGTCCCACATCAACAAACCATTTGTTACGAGTACTGGTATTTTGTTAAATTAACGATACTTTTCTCTCAGTGTGACTAAGATGCTTGCGTCAGTCCCACGGAACAGAGTTGTGCATCCTTCAAGATAACGCCTACACAAATTAGATCTGTTCTTTTTCGACAAACTTCCGAAACCGATGTATATTACATTGTATATACAATAAGTTGCAGTGAAACAAAATAAACTTGCCTCTAACTTGCTGCAACATATTATTCTAACTAATTACCAATGTACACCAGTTCAGGAAATTTTCCAAAAAAGAACAGGCCTATTGTTTATCAAGCATTCTTATTTTCGAAGTCATTTTTAACGCCGGAAGTCCTCGAGCAGGTTGTCGCAGGATCGCGGCAGTGCTCCGGGCCGATCAAATTGGCGGTCCCTGCGAATCTGCCGTAGGATGGCCGGCTGGCTGCTACAGCCGAGATTCGTGATGTTGAGTGAGAGCATGAGAGAGAACGAGGTGGGAGCGGAAGAACAGGGGATGGGGGGGTCACAGGAAAGAGAGAAGGGGCAACAGAAGGATAGACAGGCTTTTGAGATACCTCGGTGACCAGTTTAGTTCTGCTTGGCACTTGAGACGCATGCTGCAGCGTCGGGCCCGAAGTTGATTAACGCGGCGATTACCCCTACTAAGGTGTTCCCTTTGGTCCCCGAGGACTCTGCGAGAATTGTATGGCCGCGTGCGAGCACAGCGATATGAGCGAGAAGTAACCCAGCCACGTCGCGCTCGCCTACCAAGAGAATCACGCTGGTGCTGAAGTTTTGACGTATCCGGGAAGTAGAGTTAACAACTGGCGATTACACGCGCGCGCGAGCCCGATCCGACGAGGTGCTGTCATTACCGAGGCATTCTGAAGATCGTGGGATCTTCAGTCCCGACCTCACCGCTGTGGGAGACGCGTTTCCAGAGTTTGTTTGCCGCGGATTGACAGGTCGGTTAGTGAGGTCGCGGAACACCACGGTGCACGGGACCGCGAAGTGAACGGCAAGCAGCTGGGGCGAGCACGAGCGCCGATCGCGCTCGTCGGCATTTCGAGTGAGCACTTTGTCTTCTCCTTCTGACGACTCCCGGACGACCTGAGGTCGTTAGGACGCACGTGGAGCGTGCAAACGTCACGAACGTGTCGCCCAGGGAATTGCTCGCCCAGCTGCTGGAGACGTGGAAAGCGCACTCGTTTTCTACGTGCCCGAGCGCGCATTTTACGGCGCGCACCTGCCGCCTGTAAATGACACTTGTGAAATCAACGCACACAGTTTCACCGTCCACAGCGTCGGGGAAGGGGTCGTTGACAAGAGCGCGCCGACCTGTTCGCCGGGCGCTGCTTCGCCGCAACACTTCCCGAAGATAATACCGGCCGCGTCGCACCTAGAAAGCCATCGCCGTGAGGAGACTCCGCGCCGAGTCCCGAACAGGAAGCAGTCCCTGTGCCGGCGGTTTTCGCGCTACTGGAACTCCTCGCAGCTGTTACAAATCGAGGCCACTGGAAGGACCGCGCGTTACCGCTTGACGAGGAATAGCAGATACCAGGAGAAGCGAGTCGTCGTGGTCTAAGAATATCGTGCGCGTTCGGATCGTTGAACTCCTTCCTTTCTTTTTTCCACGTGTCGTGGTGAGCTTTCCGGGGGGAAATAAATCGGAAACTTTCTCCGGCGACGTCAATAAGTCGCGCTGTAAACGATGTCGACCACGTCCGACGACGAGGGCTCGCAGGAGGATCATCCGCAGCGCTACGACGTCGACGACTTGGAGATTATCAAGACAATTGGTGAGTCCTGGCGTTACGGGTTTGTTCCTATCTCGGTCAGAGATTATCTTTCCAAGCTCTCTAAATTTCTTAGAGGTATATCTCATTGAAAACGAGTGAAAAGCGCCAGCGTTTTTACTTGAAGCGATAGTGAAATCACAAGAGTGGAGGCCGATCCTTCAGCAGTGGTTTGAATTTAGATTTAAAAGAGTATCCTGAAAGTTCGTGAAAACAAGTACTTTCTTACAAAAATATTTTTGAGAAAAACAAAAAAATCGAATAACGTTGGATATTATTTACAAGCCTAACTTTAAAAATATATTGTTATTGTCTAAGTGATAAAAACTCTCTTCTTTTATGTGTTATATCCTACAAAGTTGCAAAAAAAGAACGTGTACACGAATGATATAAATGATTATGACTGTCTCTCTCTCCTACATATATTTCAAACGCAAAAAACAAAAATTTTCTTATTCAAAAAAAGTGTGACTATCATCTGAACTATAACTAAACCAATATTACCATTCTGAATAAAATGGCGGCCTTTTTATTACAAAACTTTTGTTCTTCTTAAAGACGTTGTTAACGTTTTGTTAAAAATAGAGAAATTATAAATATATCATATTTGACTAATTCAGATAATAGCCACACTTCCCCTGAACAAGAAAACTTTTTGATTTTTAGTTTCAGATATCTAGGAGAGCCATAATTGCTTACACTGTATGTTATTTTTTGGAAGCTCCTAGTGACCAGGATATAATGAAAAAAGAACATTTTTGTTACTCAAACAATGAAAATATATTCTTAAAATAAGGTTAAATGAATATGTAAAATTTGGCATTATTTAATTTTTTATTTTCCTATAAAAATTTTCGGAAAAATACCTCTTTTGGCGATTTTTCAAATCAAAAGATTTCCTTAAGTTTCCACGTTTCCTTAACATGTGAACTCTGTTGTAATGATGTGTCTGATGTGTTTGAACTGGAATATAAGTTCAAATTACTATTGAAAAATCGGCCTTAAATGTGTTGCTTAAACTTATAATGGGTTTTGACTTTATATGAGCGAATAATTCGATCAAGTGGAGTAAATGTGTATCTATAACGATGGAGTATTACAGACTTTACTTTTATATTTCCAATAAAAATATTCACTCGACGATTCAAAGCGGAGAATTCACTTCGTAAGAATGAAAAATCACTCGAATTCGACTGACTCGATGCACATAGATATTCCACTGCTGAAAAAAGCGATTGTTTACTTTACTTCTTTTAAGTAAATTAAAAATATCTTCAACAAAGAACATTTTCTTGATAATGGTCTTCAAATATACTCATCACAAATTTGAGATAAGCTTATGTATTTAAAACACAAAAACTTACTCTTTTTACAAGAATATTGTACAACTTTATCGAAGAAAAGATCGACTCTATGCAGCAAAAAATCGAATTTTTGATCTAATTTAATATTCTTGATTTTGAGATGTTAAACTTACTAAAGTTCAGAATATGTTTTGAATAAATGCTTATGATGAATTTTTGTGATAAATTTGCGGATATATAAACTTATGTGTGATTATAATACTTAAAATAAATAACATTAAGGTGAATACAGTATGTATTTTTATTCTGTACGTGATCGTTCACTTTCCAAGTGGAATTTCACTCTATGAAATTTAGGGAGCATGCAAAACTTGAAAACTTCGCGCCACTTTATCATAAAGTAACGTCTTATTACGTGTGAATACCTAATTGTGTTAAGTAATAACATTGTATTAAGAAAAAATATTTTAAAAGTTTTATATATTAAATACATGTATTTGTGTGCAACAATGAAAGACTGTTAAACTTGTTCGCGACGAGTTCGCGCGTGTCGTACACTTGCGCGTGTATAAATAACGATAGACCGAGCCTGACGCGATCAAAAGCTTTTCGTATGACAAAATTAAAATAAACGATGGGTTGAGAGGAGCAGAGAAAGAGAAAGAGAGGGAGAGGAGAAATAAAATGTACCGTTCTCGAAGTAAGGAAGTAGGACACTGTGGAGAGTGAGAGGGTATCCAGTGTATATTTAACTGCTCGTTAAAGCCGGAATTGTGGGAGAGTGGTTCGGAAAATTGCAGGTACTCGGCTTATGATCTCTTTCTGCCTTTTCGTAACTCCGGCCTCGAGCAAACGAATACATGCGAGCGTGAACGAAACCTGTGTTTTAAGAGCATTCCAAGAGATATCTTAACTTATCACACGTTCTACAATCGTTTTGTGAGTATACTAGGGTGGCCAAGATGTCCCAGCCTCAAATCCAAGATAGACTTTATAAATGTGTGAAGTGAGAAGAAAGAGGAAAGACACTGAGAATTTTATATGAAACAATATTTTATTTGTAGACATACGAAAAATAACTTAACAACAATAAAAACCTGCATTCAATAAAAATAGAAACTATTGCTAGGACAAAATTGTTATTCTTACTTAAAATTAAGAGGAAGCAGAGTTACTATTTACTAGAGCTGTGGATTTTCTCGAGGTCTTTTCTTGTCAAAAGCACTTTAAAAATTCTCTAGACCGGGATAAATCGGGACAGCTTGGTCGAATCAAATCGACATCCCAAATAGTATAATCGATACGATCCGGGAAAAAGGATGAAAAACTAGAACTATCCCGATGAAAATGGGACATTTGGTCACTTCAGATATACTCTCGATTTTTGTTTGCGGTTTCTACTCGAGATCGTGGCGCGACATTGCAGCAAAACTCGAGTTTGCCTCGCGCGTACACAAAGTAAAACAAAAAGTTGTGACCTGAAAGACATCCTTCTAAGAGACATCTGGGCGAGTCTACCGTCCTTTAAGATTCTACGACCACGTTTCTTGCACAATGTTCACTCGACTTTCGCTTCGACGTGATAATTTTTGCTGGAGACTTCTCGAGCGACATTGTATTGAGAAATTCGTGTTTACAGCAGGGATATGTAAACGAAAACGAAATGTGCTCCGAAAACATTCTTCTAAGAGACACCCAGACGAATTTATCGGACGTTACCCGACTACGATACGTGTCGTTGACTTTCACATCGACGCGACGGTTTTTGCTTAAGACCTCTCGAGCGACGTTGCGCCCCGATATTCGCGTTTGTCGACTGCATATTCAAACGAAAAATGTGTCGAAATGTCTATCCTGTGGAGTGAAGTGGTATTATGAGTCCTAATAAAACTCGCATTAATAGTCCTTACTTGAAATTCGTCTCACTTGAAATACTCTCAGATCTGAATTTCAAATTATGTCCTTCTAAGGGATATCCCACTTTGTCAAATGTTCTAAAAATTTGCCCTATAGCTTTAGTCAGGTTGATCCTAGTCAGTTCTAGATGTTACCGAATCCTAACAAGTCATATAACACAACATAGCAATCAGGACCTTATAAATAGTAAGATTTTTTAACAATTAAGTCCCGATATTTATTGATCTTATGCCAAACCAAGTAACGACTATTAATACCTGAGTCATGTAACATAGCGTGGCAACCTCAGAATAATAAGGTTTATTAATAAATTAGGTTTATAAATAATAAAGTTATAAATAATATTCTATGGGGTGAGGTGATATTATGAGTCCTAATAAGATTCGCACTAATAGTCCTTACTTGAAATTCGTCTCACTTGAGATACTCAGATCTGAATTTCTAGTTATATTTGAGTTTGATACTTGAATCGTACAATATCGATATTATAGAATAATAACATTATATTTGTAATAGCAATCCTACTGAAAAACTCATCTAATTTTAAATTCAAATCTGAATACAAAATAATGTCTTCACTTAAAACAAATTTCAAGTAACGACTATTAATACAGTCTTAAGTCATGTAATATAACGTTGCAATCAAAATAATAAGGTTTATAAATAATATGATTATAAATAATATTCTATGGAAATATTCTTAGGTAATGTTATGAGTCCTAATTAGACTTGCATTAATAGTCCTTACTTGAAATTCGTCTTGAGATACTCAGATCTGAATTTCAAGTTATATCAGAGTTTGATATTTGAATCGATATTGGACATATTATTGGATAATAACATTATATTTGTAATGGCAATTCAACTGAAAAATTTACATCTAATTTCAAATTTAAATCTGGATACTTCTCTCTCTCTCTCTCTCTTTCTTGAGACAAGTTTTAAGTAACGATTATTAATAAGTCTTAAGTTATGTAATATAGCGCAGCAATCAGGATAAAAAGGTTTATTAATACTTAGAACTCGATAACACAACCAATCCAGATAACTGTGAATAGTATCAACCTGATCATGAGATAAGTTTTTAATTGGACTCCACTCCGTCGATTTTCGCGTCGAGCCACGGTTTTTGCTGAGCGACGTTACAGCGCGAAATTTATGTTCCTCAAATGGACATTCAGACGGAACGTGTCTCGAAGACACCCTCCCGGGGGATGTCCCAATTGATCGGACACTCCAGTGCCGTCTTCCGTCCGAGCTACCACTCGGTCGACTTTCGCGCGCGTCGACGCGACGTTTTTCAAGCGCTCGCGCGACGAGATCCGCGTTGGTCGCGCGGGTATTTAAAGCGTCTACGCCATCACCGGAAGCGCTTCGTCGTTTTACCGTTGACACCTGTTCCGAGCCGTCGCTGGCGGCTCTCCCCGCCGTGGCTAGGTAGGACAGACGGCCGATGTGTATCGCGGCGCTCTTGTTGCGTTGCCAATTTCGTCCGCCACCGTGGAAGCCACCGTGGAAGCCACCGAGAGATAAATATACGCGCATAAATATGCAAAACCTTGCGTTGTGGCCGCAATGTGACGGTCAATTTCGGCGTTTAATTTAGCCAGGGCTCATTGCGCGAGCGCGGGCGCGCTAATTGGCCACGGTACGTTAATCAGAACAACCGAGTCACCTGCATTCGTGGGAAAGTGCATTAAACAGAGCGCGCCGGTAGCGCACACAGCACAGGATTATAAAAGCGCCGGTAATTAACGGACCGCCTTAATGGTCGATATGCAAATGAACCATTCCGCGGCGACAGGCACGCCCGTTATTAAACGACTTGCGTTCTTTTTTCTTTCTTTCTTGATCGTCGCACCGACTGAGAACGACGTGGTCCTTTGCGTGGTGACATTTAAATTGAGTGACGATCGACAAGTTGAGTCGCGATTTTGAGTACAGCAAGCGTGTAACTGCGCAGATAAGAGACAATAAAAAATTTCACTGATTTAAAGAAGGAGATTGATGTGTGAGAAACAAAAAGTCTCCAAAGACGCTGAAGGCAAACAATCAATAAGGAAGATTAAGGCCCGATCTACAATAGATGGAGTAAGGAGTAGGAGTAAGATAAAATGGAAATAATTTATTTTGCTTACTCCCTTACTCCAGCTCTTTACTCCAGCTCTTACTACTTAATTCAGGATTACTCCATGTGATGTAGACGGGCAAACTTTTATTGGAGTAAGGGAGTAAGCGAAATAAATTATTTCCATTTTGTCTTACTCTTACTCCTACTCCTTACTTCATCTATTATAAATCGGGCCTAACTGATAACATTAGACGTTGGGCGCGATGATTTAAATCTATACGAAAAATTTGTCAGTTCGAGTAACTCAATCAGGAGGGAGGCCAGACGAAAAACTTACTGACGAAAAATAATATTTTTTTACTTTGTGACCGAAAACATTCGTCTGAGCATTCAGCTGCACTCAAACTCGGTCGAGATAACTGCGATTATCTGCGTAGAAATCTCCTCTACAGGAGTCTTTCTGTTCAAAATTCAGTTACGATAACGGAATTGTTTTTTTCCGTGTAAGAGCAGGAATAACAGTAAAACTGTTATTTTCGCATAAATAAGTAACTGTTATTTTCGCACAGTAAGGAGAAAAGATGGGAAGAGATTTATTAATATTATTAGTAAATTAATAAAATAACTCGGCAAGCGAGGTTCGATTTCACATGGTGAGTGTACAGACGGGAAAAAATATCCGGGAATTAAATTTACATTATCACACTCAATATTTAACGACGGCTTTTATTAGCCAATCTTTTTTGTTAATACATAAGAGGCACCGCCAGATTTAAATAAGCGACATAGTTAAAAATAAAGGAGGACAATATTATTTCTCGCGTAATTGTCTGCTTCGAAACTTCCTTCTGCACTGTTATAGCGTTACTTTAATTTGCCACATGAAACTCTCATTTCCAGATTATTCCAGATTATTCCAGATTGATGTCAAATGCTTGCTATGTCTGCTAAATAAAAGAAATTATTCAATTTTGAAGGATTAGTAATTTTTACGAATAAAATAAACACTGACTTGGTATTTTTTAAACATCTAATGTGAGGGCTTCCTATTTTCTTTTTAATACACAAAAAAATCCGTACTGCATTTAAGTAAATTTAAAACAATACATAATAAAAACAAGTACATATTACTTGTTTCAAGTATTTAACAAGTTTATGTAGCTACAAATATCTATCATAAATTCATCATAAATATAAAACTTATTCAAGATATATCCTAAATCTGAGTGACTTTTTTTTAAGTTTGGCATACACAAAAATATTAAATATTAAATTAAAAGAAAAATTAAATTAAAATATTAAATTCAAAGAAAAATTCGGTTTGTTTGCTACATAGTATTAAACTAGCTTTTTCTTCGATAAGATTTTATAATATCCTTTAAAAAAAATAAAGTTTTCTTTTTTTACTATAAAATAATGAGCTTTTCTAAAGTTTGTGCTGACTATATTTTAAAGCTATTATCAAGAAAATAATCTTTACTTAAAAGAGGGAAAGTGAGCTATGGAAAGTAATCGCTTTTCTTAACGGTAGAATAATATTTTCTTCGTGCATCCAAGCAATCTAAAAATTCCACTATGTGCAATGCAACATGTGAAATGCAATAGAAAAAAGAAAAATCCTTTGCTTGATATTTTATCAATATATATATATATATATATATATATATATATATATATATTTCCTCTCCCTCCTCCTTACTATTATTAGTGAAAAAATATTTTACTAATTCAAAACGACACGAAATTTGCAGGCACAGGCACGTTCGGTAGAGTCGTGCTATGTAGACACCACGGCACGCCGCTCGCTCTGAAAATCCTCTCTATGGTGGACGTGATCAGGCTGAAGCAGGTCGAGCACGCGCGCAATGAGATCACAGTTCTGAAGGAAGTCAATCACCCTTTCATCGTCAACATGTAAGTTAATATTCCGTTTGTCATTGCCGCGCGGAAGACGTCATCCGCGGAGAGAGCTCCGTAATTTGATACCCGACAGACGATGAGTAAACACCGCGATTGTGACTCGGTCGCCTGACACACAATGGGGCAATGTAATCGTCCAAGGGAATGAAGAAAGTGACGCGTTTGTCGGTCAAGGAAAGGATTCGTGCGATGATCACGCGGACAGAAAGCGTGGCCGGGATTAAGGAGAGTGATGCACGCGAATAGCTCGCGATTAACATTTTTGATCGAGGAGAGAAATCGATTCGTCGACGTGGAAGAGAAGAGAGGCGCGCGTTGCTTCTTCCGAGGCGAAATCGTGAATGTCCGCGTAATATTCCGGCTTTGTGTCGGCTCTTCAGAATTGTCGTTGTCTTTTCAGGCTATGGAGCGGCAGGGACGAGGCTAGAATTTACATGTTGCTGGAATTCGTTGCCGGTGGCGAGCTCTTTTCCTACCTAAGAGCGGCCGGAAGGTTCGCCGGGCCTACCAGTTGTTTTTACGCGTCCGAAATAGTCTGTGCTTTGGATTACCTCCATAACAAGCATATAGTTTACAGGGATCTCAAGCCAGAAAACCTTCTTTTGGATAGCCAAGGTCATCTGAAGATCACCGACTTTGGATTCTCCAAAAAACTCACGGATAGGTGAGCTATTTTAGAAAATAAGCGCGTCGTAAGAGTCTCTTACGCAAACGGATGGCAATTGGGGGCTAATTAGATTATCTAACTGCTAATACGAGTACATGCTTTTCAAAAAAGATGAGATAAAAGTAGAATGGTTTGGAAGTATTGATGTTACTTCTTCTTTTTAATTGGTCTTTTCTTATTAAGCTTAGGAATCTTTCTTGTTATTAACAAACAATGTTTTATATTAGATTGGTATAAAAGAAATAAAAAACGAAATTATACAATTTAGAACGATTAATTATCGTCACGAATATTTTTTTCTTTTAAATATTTAACGCGAGGATCTCTTATTTTCCTTTTGATATCCTAATTTATGAGAATTTAGTAGACAAATGGCGAATATTTTGCACGAACCTTACATTGTTCTTCATCAGACATTTCCTCTGACGAAATCGCAGTCATTCGTATCAGTAAAGTTCAAATTACAAGGAGACCATCCGTCGTCGAGAGCGAGACACATAATTAGCCAAAGCTCACCTGTTGCCTCCCGACAGACCGTCATAATAAAACATCATGCCTATAAATGCCACGTGTATTTTTAGAACATGGACCTTGTGCGGCACGCCAGAATACTTGGCGCCGGAAATCATACAAAGCAAAGGCCACAACAAAGCCGTGGACTGGTGGGCTTTGGGCGTTTTAATCTACGAAATGCTCGCGGGATATCCGCCATTCTTCGACGACAATCCTTTCGGTATCTACGAGAAGATTCTGAGCGGCAGGATAGAGTGGCCGAAGCACGTTGATCCTATCGCCAAGGACCTGATTAAGAAATTGCTGGTCGCCGACAGGACGAAGAGATTGGGAAACATGCGGCAAGGCGCCGAGGACGTCAAGAGGCATCGATGGTTCAAATTAGTCGAATGGCCGCTGGTAATTACGCTTGCCAATTAATAGTGAAAGACATCGAAAGATAACGGAGAGAGGCCGAAAGCCTGCTCCGCTCCAAGACGATTTAAGACGTTCCTTTGCGATGCCGTTCGGAACGCAGACGATGGTCCGATGAAAGAACTTTTGGGAATTAATCGACAGCAATTTCTCATTGGACCATCGAAAAAGAAGTCGTGTTGAGATCGATTGTACATATATTTATCTCGATTTATTTGATACAAACTCTAGACTATTCTGACGACTGGCGTGGATCTTCTTCATTTAAAATAGCGTCCTTGGCATTACATGTGGAATTTGCAACATTCTACGAATAAACGTTGATGGATACTCTCGTAAAGTTTCTCTAACACAACTCTCGTACTTTACATCTTTTCGCTCGCTATTCTTAACGAACACGTTCGTTCGACGCTGAGCGTCGTTTGACGCCATTACACAGAATACAACCATCCATCACGCTCCATGCATCTTTGGGGTGCATTCTTCTAGACAAAAAACGTTGAAAATGGAAGATTTAACACAGTGACTAGCACACGTAAAAAAGTTAAGATAGATGTGTTAGGAAAATTCAAGTTCAAAGAACACATTAGCTGCACTGAAGTTCAAAGGATTGCCTTCGGGTAATTTATCAACTTTATAATTTCGTCGTAAATAACGACAAAGAAGCAAAGTGTTAAGGAAACGATGGGAAGTAACGTAGAGAGTGTCAGTTTCACGAAAATAGCGTTGCATAGCCTGTGAACCTGATAAAGGAAAAGTAAAAGAAAGACCAATGTCTATCATTCCGATAAGAAGTGTCTCGTAAGTTCACGACTGTTGATCGATGAATGTTTACTTCTTTCTAAGAAAGTGGGACTTATCCGAGTCGTCAGAATAGTTAGAAACTTGAATAAACAATAACGAGATAAAATTACGTGCTTTTAAACAGAGTAGAGTGAAATGTATTTTCTATATCGCGAGGTGCCATCTTTATTATTGTCATCAATGGAAAATAACGCTTTCATACGAACCGATCTATCGGCAAGCACGCGATAAAGCGCAGAAAAAATTAAAGGGATGCACGAGATATGACGATTCCGTCGAGGATATAACGTATCGTTAAACGGTCGAAAGTACAAAGTATATCGTGAAAGTATTTTTTTCATCCCACGAGAAATAACACGCACATAAATATTAAATAAATACTTAATATACAGAGTGTCCCAAAAACACTCAGCCTAACGTTAACACTATATTTTAGTGATGGATACAAACAAAAGATTTTTAATAAGCATTAATCAGAGAAAACTAATCATTAACGAGTCATATTAGTTTCAGGATATTTAAAATTATTGTTAAACTTGTTTTTATATATATAGTTTCAGAGTATTTAAAATTATCGTTATACTGGTTCACCCGATATCAATCATATTGATTTTTATCTGTGGGGTCATCTTAAAACTTTAGTTTATGCTTTAGTTTAGAATCTATCCAAATTGTTCATATTGATGATTAGCACATTATAAATTCGTTTGATATCATATCGAATTCCCTAATTATTTTCGACCGAGTTCAGCAATTTCTGAAGAAAACTGAAGGATTTATTGCTATTCGAAGTAGTCACTTTGGACAGTTCTTGTAACCTTACGTGAGTTTGATTTGCTCAGCTCATCATACCATACCATTATCAATCTTCTTTAATTAATATCTCGAGATTTATTGCGAATATCGCAATAAATAACGGTATGGAATTTTTATGTTTATCTCAATCCGTTTCCACAAAAATTGTGGAAGAGAGTCTGAAACATTCTGTATATAATACTATAGATACTTATATGTATATAATACTATATAATATTATATGTATATAATACTATAGATACTTATTTTATTTCGAGCGCTGAACGACACATTGTATCCTCGATGAGTGCGTTACTTCGCTTCCCTCCCTATAATTTTCCTCGTTCTACGAGGATGAGAATACTTGTTTTCCCGTTGATGACGATAATAATAACGGCGTCTCGCGATATCTTGCAACGATCGCGCCACACAGCAGTAACGACAGCAATTTAACCGATCGATCGACGTTCGCAGGTGCCACAAAGAGCCTTGACACCCCCGATAAGGCCGCGTGTACAGGCGCCGGGCGACGCGAGCTGCTTCGACGATTATCCCGAGACCGACTGGCGTTCCCAACCACCCCTGCCGCCGGATCAGCTAGCTCTCTTCCAGGACTTCTGACGAGCGGGGAGATAACGCGACGATATCGCGGAATAGTCGTGACATTCAGCGCTTGACAGTTCGTCGGCAGACACTCAGACTCGTATTAGCACTCCCTTGAAACTTGTCTCACGTGAGATAGTCTGAAGAGATCTGAATTTAGAGACTTCAGACCCGAGTTTGTCGTTTAAATTGCGTGCTACGTGTGCGACATTGCATCTGTGATCGCGATTCGACTGAAGAACTCGTATTTAATTCTAAATTCAAATCTAAATGCCTCACTTAAGATAAGTTTCAAGCTTCACGCTTATTAATACGAGCTTTTGTGCCTCATGTGGTGACTGGAACTGGAAACAAGTGAACAGAGATTCGACGTTACGTTAATGTTACGTTGGATAATGAACTTTTTTACACTGTACATATATAGGTGATTTTTTATATTTTGTTGCGTATTATTTATTGATTCGTGCGCGCGCTGTCTAGACTAGGCATTCCTTGTTTTCGCGAGATCCTGTAAATAAACGTTGAACGGTTAATTTTACTTAACTGCGTGTGGTATTAACTACCATTAGCGCGTGTGATATTGTATTAATGGTCGAAGTCGGCTTATTTAATGCTCGCGCAATAATTTTCTGCCTCGCGCGCGTGAGAGGTCAAGCGAGATCTACATTATCGCGGCTTTAAATCAAACTGCGTTAATGCGCGGAATCGATTTGCACTTACTTTCAACCTCGATCGTCAGTTAAATCAAATCCACCGCGTTCGTTCTATAACTGGTGCAAAATAACAGGCGACTCGTCATCGTCTACATTTCATTAAATTTGCAGAACGCGGTAAATAATTCAAGTTCGGCCGCGACACGCAACGCTCGCATGCTTGATCGCAACTTTCTGAGCGCGATAGCATCTCGGCGTGTGACTTCGGCCAAACAGCAGTGTAAGCCGATTCCACGTAGAAGAAGCACCGCGTTAACACGCCAAACCGACACTTCATACGCGAAGTATTTTGCAACAAACGTGAGAGTAACCGAAGCAAAAGTATTACACATACAAGAGTCGCGAATATTCCAGTCCGTTCACATCATGTTGCCGAAATCTTCACGTGAATGGAGACGCCACGCGGTCAAGAGGATCATAGTGGAGCACATGGAAACCTCAAGGAAAACGGGCAAGCGATCGCTCAAACGTATTAATCCGAAATTATATGAGAATCTCCCGACAAACAAGAGCGCGGAGTCGACCGGCCATAAACTCTTGACGGAATATCTGCAGGACAGTTCGATACACGGCATCAAATATCTCAGCAACTTGCGGATAAGACCCAGTATCGTCGGAAAAATCTACTGGGCTCTGATCATAATCTGCAGTTTCGTGTGTAGGTGACAAATCTTACTTACAACGAACACTACCCAAATGTGATACGCCATTTTTCTTGAAACTCAGCATACACGTAGCATATGACATGACATTTCATATATGATATTTTATATCGGCATGTTTTTTAATTTGTACAATTATTTAGACGATTATTTATAGACAAGATGTCTATAAACTATATTGGGCATTAATCTATGAAAATTTTCTTTGACTAAAATAGTCGGCAAATCAATAATCGAAATTAATCAATCGTTATGTATAAAATCAAAATAATTTTATCGATTAATGAAATTAATCATTTTTAATTAGTAATCGAATTTTGAAATGTAACTGATTATACACATTAATAAATTCAATTATTTGTGTGATTATATATATGATGATTGATTAACGATTGATTTATCGATTATTTTAGCGAAAAAAGTCTATAAACAGAGTTTTGGACTTCAGGTTTACGGGTTTATGGGTTTTCGAGTTATGGGCTTTGAGTAGATGAATTTACGTGCTTATAGTTTTTAGGTTTATATGTTGTAGTTTTACATATTATGGGCTTATAGATATCAGTTTTTAGGTACATCGTCACTTCGAGTTTTGTTTAAACAATTATCTAAATAATTCTGCAAATTAAAGAACGGGCCAATATAAAATATCACATATGAAATATCATGTCATATGCTATGTGCGTGTTGAGTTTCAAGAAAAATGACGTATCACACTTGGGTAGTGTTCCTTGTTAGTTTTATATACAGGGTATATGAATGTTCTATATACAGGGTGTATGAATTTAAGCATGAGACACCACCATATAAATAGAACACATCACACTGAATAGCCCTGTTTTCTATTATTAAGGTATTACCCTCAAATTCCACACTCCGACCGCGCAACCGTAACTTCCATAGAAATTTTTACTGGTGCGAATTCCATAGAAATTTTTACTGGTAAAAATTTCTCTTTGTTACCATTTGTCAGTGAGTTGATGTATCGTTTTGCCCCCACTATGGCAAACTTGTTTGGTCCCTATTGAGTACGAGGCAACCGTTCCCGGAGTCATTCTTGCCGAAACATGCAAAATAGCGACTGTGAAAATTCAAGTTCGAAATCGATGCCAATAAAATTTTTCTTTCCTTAATATTTCTTTAAAACATTTATTTCTTCAATAAAGTTTTTGCCTAATTTCAATAAAAAATAAGTATTTTTATGTTAATATACTAGTTTTCATTACAAATTAAATTTCATGAAAATATATAAATGTTATTATTTTTTATGCACCACACTTCTTTCCCTATTGTTTCTTAAGAATATAAGATTAAATGTTTTTTTATATATGTCTCGTATTTATGCGTAGAATGTAAAACAATTGAACAGTATTTTCCTATATATGTCTCGAATTTTCATTTATTTTTTTTTGAGGAATTTGAGGGTTAATCAAAGACAATTTGATAAAAGCGAATGAGTGCACATCAGGGTTGGGTAAATTAACTTTTCTTTTAACTAAGTTAAGTTAAAGTTATTGGCTTTGAAAATTTAACTTAGCTAAGATCAAGTTAATCCATAATGAAATTAATTGAATTAATTATTAAAAGTTAAGTTAAAAAGTTAATTAAAAAGTAATTAAAAAGTTAAGAGTAAAATTTGTTTCATTTCATGTCTTCAGTTTTACAAATAACGGGAAAAAACAAATATACACCTTATTTGGATGTTTTATTTACAGATACTTATTAAATTTAAATAATAAAATTTTCTCGAAATTTTTATCGGACATTTTTCCTCGAAGATTGTCGAAAATTAGCCCTCCTGCTCTAATTAATAGTCTTTCAACATCTCGCGATACCTTTATGGCATAGTTAACTTCAAAATAATTAAATTAAAAGTTAATAGATACCGATAAAATGTAACTAAGTTAAGTTAAAAGTTAAAATTATAAAAATGTAACTAAGTTAAAGCTATTTAACTTTTAACTTTTTAACTTAACTTTTAACTTTTTAACTAATTACTACCCAACACCCTGGCACATGATACAATAAAATGAATCTCTATGGCACAGTCTGAAGGGACATGTCTTAAGCTTGTTTCCCAACAATGATAAATATAGGTATATTACAACAGATCCACATAGTCTTATATACGTAGATGGAGCACTTCATAAAAATGGAATCCTGGCTAGAAAGCAATGTCCTGTTAGTATAGATATTCGATCTTTGTCGTGCTTGACTCCTACTAGGGCTAGCTAACTAGACAAAGTCAAGCTAGACGAAAATCGAATGTCTGTCAACAGGAGAATATAACTCATTCTAATTTCGTCTTCAAACATGTAAAAAAAAAATCTATAAGAAAGCGTAATTTATGTCTACAAATCTATGTTGGGGATTAATCGATGAAAATTTTCTTTGACTAAAATAGTCGGTAAATCAATAATCGAAGTTAATCAATCGTCATATATAAAATCACAAATGATTTTATCGATTAATGAAATTAATTATTCTAAATTAGTAATCGAAATGTAATTGATTATACACATCAATAGATTCAATTAGTTGTGTGATTATGTATATGATGATTGATTAATGATTTATTTACTGATTATTTTAGCGAAAAAAGTTTTCTTCGATTTAATACCCAACACTAATCTATGGCTGCAACATCACACGTGGACGTTGGAGCAACGTCCACTGCTTGCAGTGTTAGTCAGACTCGTTAAATTCAGATACCTTATAGATTTCACAACAAAGTGAGATTCTCTTATATCACCAAGTGACGAGCTGTAACGAGATAGAAGATTCGTTGAAGCCTGTCGCAATTTCAAGCGTCAAGGTTTGTTCGTTGTTCTTTCAGTCTTAATTTGGATGGTCAGCACCATCTGGATGCGTTACTCTGCCGACCCGCTTCGCACCGTCGTCGAATCCTTCGAGGAGCCGATATTCAAGATTCCCTTCCCGGCCGTAACTCTTTGCCCCTTAATACCGCCGCTGGCCGCGAGACGCAAAAAGTTGCTGGCGCGTCTGCATCTGCCGGACAACATCAACAGCACCACAGCCATGTTTCTGCTCAAGTACGTGTTCGTTCATTAATAGCAAGCGTGATCTGCAAAGTGACCGACGGTTGAAAGAAGATCGTCGCTCATGTGGGTCTCAAGAGTAACGCGTTCGGCTAATTTACATTGCGATCTATTTGATATCAAAAACATCCTCAGTGAGTAATATCACTCCCACAGAGGGATGAGAATTGATTCCAAAGAGCGACAAAATTGTTGATGTTGCAATAGTTGTAATCCCAATAAAATCTTAGTTCTTAATATTAAATTCTGAAAAAACAAGCTCAGGACTGCCAATCTTAGTCGGGATGTTCGTAATCGAAAACTTACGTCAATAATACTCAAAGGAAATATATATATTTTCTACCTAACTTTAGTTTTTGAATTATTTTTATATATTGAGTATAGCTAATAAAGTTCATAAAAATAACTAAAAAATAACTGAGTTATTTTTATTAACTAGATCATTTGTATTAATTTTAGCTTCTGACTTTAGTTTCTGACATACTTTCATTGAAAATTTGACCAAAATGAAAATTCTGAGCCGGATAAGCCACTGAACAATACGACATTTTATCGCGAAAATAGTCACGTTAGACTTATCAACAATCTGTCATTTTAGAGGTTATCTTTTAGTTGTAAGTCAAGTTATGCAAATAGTCAAGTATTGACTACACACCCTATATCCCCAAGATTAGTTGTTATATATTTTTCATGTAAATAAGACAAATTATTTCTGTTTTAATTGTTTTATTAAAGTTTGTGATAATCTTATAATCAGATACAAACATTGACCTAAGAAGATAATAATTTTAATAATAATAATAAATAATAAATTTTTTAAAATAATAACTATAGAACCTTATACCCAGATTTATTCTTATGACATGTACAATATAATACATTATTGCGTATATCTCCATACTCTTGTAAAATCACGTCATAACTACGTGACGGATTCAGAACGCGTGATAATTAATCCCATTTAACTTAACCCGAACAATCATTTGAAATAATAGAGATTATATTTTTAAATTATGTTACAGTAATTGTTGAACCGAAAAACTAATTGCAGGAAAATTAGATGAATCTATAACATTTCTTATAACTAAGAACAGATTGTGATTAAAAATTCCAAAACCAATGAGCCAATAAAAATAGAGATAAGAAAGAATTTTTGCACCGCGTCCAAAAAAGTGCTTACAAATACCACATGCGATATTTTTGTCATAAACTATTTTGTACACCCAACTAACAACCCAAAACGTTTGAAACGGGACCCAAAAAGGGCTTACATAGTTTTTCCCTACTTCTGTCTAGGCATTGTAAAGACAAGCTGACTTAGATTTATTTAAAATTCCATTCCGAATATATCTTTCTACGCCAGTTCTCGGCTCAACAAAGGCAAGCCTCATTAAAGGCATTCACGTTAGAGACTACTCAAGACCTATTCACAAAATTTCATTTCAAATTTGCTTCTTTTGGCTATGTCTAGGCCCGACAAAAGTAGACCTATCTTGGGACATCTACGTCAATGCTTATTCAGGATCTATTTATTAAAATTCCATTCCGAATTTACTTTTTTTTGGCCATATCTAGGCTCAATGAAGGCAAGCCTAACTTAGGGCATACCTAACTAGAGCTTTTACAGATTTAATGCGTACTCTGATTAATTTTTCTACTTGAGATAATATCTATACTATAAAGAAAAATATACTCTTTCACTTATTACGCCAGATATAAACTTTGTGACAACTGACCCGTGTAACTTCTAGACCCGGTTTCTGTATCATAGTGCCCATCACCGGTGCCCATCACTGCGACGCTCAATGCATCAATTTAACACGCTACGCTATAAAATCTTTCAGATACGGGGTTGCATTTTCAAGTGAGCGCGTCCCCGGTGGTAGGAATCACCTAAATAATTTAAGGATGCTGTTGGAGTATAATAATATTACGCTATTGGAATTGGTGAAGTTACTGCGACCTTGTGAAGACCTGGTAGAATCCTGTTGGTGGGATGGAGTAAAAATGAACTGCAGCCAAATATTTAAAGCCTCTCATACCTCGCAGGGTATATGTTGCTCCTTCAATTTCCAGCTGGAACATTACATCAGCGAAAAGTGATTACTTCCACTTAATTGTACTTAAATTATCGTGGCATTGTTCGTTTATTGCAACTGTTTTCAAACTGTGTTTCAACTGTCAGAAATTGGTTGTACCCCGTCCAGTACCTTAGAACTGCTTACTTCGGATCAACGTATGGCCTCACGGTTATTATTCACCCGAAATTGCTGATGGAGAATGACGGCACCGGAGAGTTCATTAAATATTCGACCAACTCCGTCGGCATTTTGGTACAAGTTTCTCACTTTTTCCAGTAATAATTTAATAACAGTATTATTGCTTTTGTTAATAATAATAACGCTAACGCAATGATATTTCTTAGAATAACGGTAAAAAGAGCAATCGTTATCTTGGAAAATTAACACGGAAAAGACATCGCAGTAAGATGTTCCGGAAAAACCAAAGTATCTAAAATCTTTGCTCCCCAGGCATTTTCTAGTGATGCCTGGTCTAAAAACTCAAAATTAAAAATTTTGGTCCAAAATTCCAACTCTAACCCTTGTCTCAAGAAAGTTAAAGTTTACGCTGTTTGCTAATTTTGACGTATTTTTTTATATTTTTTAATTTAATGTAGTGATTAGGTATTATCGAATTATAGTTATATTTCATTTATATTTAACACATAATTCCACAAAAAAGTAAAAAATATACTTTGTTACATATTTAACATATTTATTTTATACAAAAATAATCCATTTTCACAGAATTTATTAGTTTTTTGCAATTTTTAAAACGCAAATATCTCCTTTTTAATGTATAATTTACTATTATATTATTTTGTTAAATTAATTTATTAACTAGGTTAATATAATCAAGTTAAGCGTACAATCAAATTAAAGCTTGATTAACAATTAAATTCATCAATTGATTGAATTGTTCGTGATTATATATATGGCGATTAATTCATTTTGACTACTGAATTTGATTTATTTTAGATAATTACAATTTTAATCGATTAACGCCTAAAAATACTGAATAGAGACCAGTCGAAAACTCGGTGACAAGAAATAATATTTCTGTTGACATTGACATTGGCATGGCGTAAACGCTCCTCTCTTCTCTTGATTAGTCCCAGACAACATAATGTCTAAAATCGGGACATAAGACATCTTAAAGATAATCTTTAAGACGCCTTAAAGACATTTATACGTAAATTGTCTGAAAGACATCTTAAAGACATGATCTCTAAGACGTCTTATGTCCCGATTTTAGATATTATGTTGTCTGGGGTTAGACGCGACATCGAAATAAACTTGCGTATTCGTTTGCGCTCTTCGTAAATATGTATCGTAAATATGTGAACAAAGTTCTAAAATCACTGATCCTTTCTTTTCTCTATTTTCATTCTTTTTTCTCTTAAAATAGGTGTACGCCCATCATCCTCTGGAGTATCTCGGCCCCATCGCTAAAAGGCATCTACTACAAGCACAGCAGGAATTGCGGGTGATTAAATGAAAGCTCTTTACAAGGGAAAATTTAACAGAAAATATCAAAGTCGATCCTTTCGATATGTCCGACATCTTCCCACGACAGGTCGCCGTAAATCCAAGCATCAGAAAGAAACTCAATGGCTACTTTCGTAAGAAGGACAACGAACAAACTCCGCATTGCGTGGATGCCATTGATGTTTCACTGAAGTACCTTCCCGTGTATCTATACTCCAACTGCTTTACCGAATGCTCCATCCGAGCTTCCCTCGAGATCTGCGGCTGCGTGCCATACTACTACGAGTCAATGGCGATTGAATATTCTTTAAAAGTAAATGGAAATCGCATTTCTTCGTGTCATCGTATTTCATTAAGTCAAAAGATTTGTCATTATTTTATTATTTTATTAAGAAAAAAAATTAATTATAAGCAGGCATTAACCCTTACAGTCCGCGCGATTTTTTGAGTGAGAGTGACAGTCTTTAAATTAGATAATATAAATTAGATTAAATTAGATTCTTTTTTTTCATGTACGTCGAAGGAACTAGTAAAAAGCCATGACACTCCCGTCACGTTACTATAGTGGCTTTCCGGATTGTAAGAGTTAAAAGGAAAATAAGGAGTTCTCGTTATATGTTTCAAAAAAATGTTTTGAATAAATTTGATGCGCGCTTATAATAAGAACGTGTGATAGATTTGCGAATATATAAACTTGTGAAATATTTGAAACAAATAACATTTACTTGCAATATGTATCTTTCCGTGTACATTAAAAAAAAATGGTACGCTCTCGTTAGATGCCTAAAAAGTTTCCGATGTTGTTAATTTTGTTTATTAAAATTAAGTCGATGTTGTTGGTTTAATTTGTAAAAATGATTGATCCTCTCGGGTGATTTCATTCTCTATTTTATTTGACAAACACGACAAATTTTTTGCAATAACTTGATATATTAAGGAACACACGAAGATGTTCGAATTAATGTACTTTCGATGTATATTTCTAGTAGTAAAATAATTTCTATAGATCTGCGATTGGGCGAACTTCGATTGTCTCTACGAGAACGCGGACAACATACGACGAATGGTTCAGAAAGACCCCTCAGTAAATATTACGTGCAAATGCTATTCTCCATGTTGGGATATATTTTACGATACGCAAGCGTCAATAGGTATACTGAACAGACATGAGTCCAATTCTTGGCCCGGGCAGTAAGTCTGTTATTTATTACATATTTCGTAATATACTGTAAATATATGTTTATGTACAAAAAATCGGTTTGTATAACTGAATGCCTATTAGACGGCACTACACGAAAATTCGACGAAGAGAAATGATTAACGACTAATATTGTGATCAAAAACATTCAGTTGCATTAAAATTTGTTTGAAATAAACGAGGACAATTGACTTGACTTGAGTAATAAAAATCTACTGCAGGAATCTTTCTATCCCTGCAACCGAGTTATAGTCTAATCCCCAGGTAACGGAAAATCAATTACACGATCCGAGCTTTTTTCCTGTAAAATATATGTACACAAAATACGTTTTATAAAAAATATGTATTATAAAAGAGTCTTCAAAATGGGTGTAAAGGCAACAGGAATTATAGCTTCTTATTACTTCTTGAGTAACAATAACCACTAGTTATTTCTCAAAATACACGGGAGAAACAATTCCGTTAGAATGTGATTAAATTTTCCGTTATCTAGTAAGATCAGTTGACCTTAGAGATCACTACAAAAACTCGGTTATTGAGAAATAATTCCTATAAAGTAAATTTTAGATGATACCAATTGCGGAATCATATCTAATCCAGGTCATCCTTATACAGAGTGTCCCATTTTAACTTCCACACCGAAATCTCTTGAAATGTACAAAAAATATGAAAAAATGTTTCAAACAAAAGTTATATAATTCGATGGAGGATCTAAGAAGGTACCATTAGTTTCACCTTAGGTAGCGCCGCCAAGGTCAGGTCGAGATCAACTTTGCTTTTTTAAATAGAAACATATATTTTTATTACGGAATTTTATTCTACGTAAAGAAACAAACAATTTTTATTTAAAAACATTTTTTATACGACCTCTATTTTCTAAGATATTTACGGAAATATCTACAAAATTATTAGATTCAATAATTTTTTACCCGAATTCTATCAACTTTACTGAAAAATAGCAAGAGATAAAAATTGTTTATTTTCTTTTCATAGAGCTCTGAAAATGTTTTCAGAACTTTTTAATTAACTTTTTTTAGTACTGCATTTTCTTGTATTTTCTTGAAGTGGCAGCGCCACCCAAGATCAAACCAATGGTATCTTCTTATATCTTCCATCGAACCATATAACTTTTGTTTGAAACATTTTTCCGTATTTTTTGTACATTTGGAGATATTTTGGTGTAAAAGTTAAAATGAGACACCCTGTATATATATTGCTTTGATCTTTAGATAAATACGAATATTTAAATTTTTTATATAAAAAATATACACATATATTGAATGCGTATATGCGTATATTCAGAGTTATAAAAATATTAATTAAACTCAATTTAATAATTGATTTTAACTAATACGTTAATTGAACATAATCGTTCAATTAACAATTAAGCTTGACAAATTTAATTAAAAGTGTGTTTTTAAATTAGTGTTTTAAATTAGTGTTTTTAACTTAGAAAGTTTTTACTCGTTTTTACTCAATTTTTCTGAGTTATTGCAACCGAGTTTTAATACAGTTAAATGTCTAGATAAATGTTTGTGGTAACAGAAATATCCTTTCATACCGCCAAATTTTCGCCTCGTTTCTATTCAGTTACACAAACTGAGATTTTTTTCCATATAACGATAACGTTATCGTTATCAAGTTACCGAGTCTTTTTGAGAAATAATTTTCACAACCATGGATAAATTCTTGCGAATTACGTGTTGCAGCAAAAATTTGACGGAAGCGCAATCGATAGTAAAAGTGTTCATGAATTATGAAACTTTCACCATGACCGACACGATCCCGATCGCCGATGAATTATACCTGCTAGGTAAATGATTTTTCACTCTTCTATTTGTACAACGCGCGTCGCTTTACGACCTCGTTGAGAAGCAAAAAGCATTTTCTGTTTGTAAGCCCAGATCTACCAGTCTCCTTCTCTTTATAATTCAAGTCTTTTTGATTTAAGTCTTAAGTCTTTCGCCAGAAAAAGTAGAGAACAAAATAGCAAAAAGAAATTCATAATTGCAAAACTCTGTTTTGTTTCTTTTTAGCGTCCGTGGGCGGCATATTTAGTCTTTTCGTGGGGGCGAGTTTCATAAGTGCCGTGGAGATTTTCTATTTCATCGGACTGTATCTCCAGTCGTACCGCAATTCGAAGAAATCAAAGTGACCGCCCGAGAAGATATTTCGCCACGCAGCAGCGAGAGTGTATCGAGCGACGATATAAATATTGTATTACATGTTTATCGTGCTGTGGGCTTATTCTGCAACTTTCAGCACCAACATCGTTATCGTGGAACGCCGTCGCGCGCCTATTATATTATGTGTTATGTTTAGTAGGCCGATTCTCCAATTTCATAACGACCGTGTCGCAAGCATCGATATTGCGCAGACTTTTTATTGTGCATTATATTTATGTAACGGCGACGTAAGGATAACGAAACTTATTAAATGTTACAGAATCCGTAGGCAAAAACTAGATCCCGATATCGTTAACCGACTTCAAAGAAAGGAAGTTCTCAGTTTGTTCTATATGTACACGGGAAAAATGTTGTAGTAAAAATTAAAATTTCACACACGGGAAAAATCTAATTCTGTTTAACTCTGTAACTGAATTTTTTGTTGCTCGAGACTGAACGAGAAACACGGAACAGAAAGATTGCTGTAGCATCATTTCTGCTCAACCAATTGTTTCAGTTATCTCAACCAAGTTTTAATATAGCTGAATGTCAAGATGTTCTTGACAGAGAAACTATTAATTAAATATTGCGAAAATATTAATTAAATTTTTTTCAATTTAATAATTAATTTGAACAAATATGTTACAGTTTATCTAATTAACGATTGATTCAAGCAAAATCAACCGAAGAATGTTTAATTAATAATTAATCTCAACAAATTCAATCAATGGACGAAGGGAATCAAAGATCATTCAATTAACAATTAAACTTAGCCAATTTAATTGAAGGCCGTTTATTTGGCAATTAAACTTAGCAAATTCTATTAAGAGCTGTTTCATTGACGATTGATATAAGCAAATTCAATTGTTCAATTGAAAAACGTTCGATTGCTCAAGATTACAATTGGTTTCATGTATAATATTCGTTCTTAGAGTATCGTGACTTTGTGGAAAATGTTAATGATTAAGTAGAACGCGTTGAAAAAAATACTGAACATATCAATCGTCACAAAGTGATCTTCGATGAATCAAAGATTGAACCTGTTCAAATCAATTGTCAATTAATTAATTAATTTTATTAAATTTTCTAAGTTCAATTGTCAATTAAACGGCTAATTAAATTTGTTAAGTTCAATTATTAACTGAACAATCTTTAATTCCCTTCGCTCATATCAATCATCAATGGAACGTTTTCGATTAAATTTGCTCAAATTAATTATCAATTATTAATCGTCAATTAATCGTCGATAAATAATTAAAAAAATAATTAATTAATCGCGACCCTAATTCTCGGTCACAATAACAGATATTATTTCTCGTCAGCAAGCTTTTTGTCTGCATTGTTAGAAAACTTCGTATTAAATTTAATAATTGGGATGTGAGGTTTTTTTTACATAACTGTGTTATAAAAAATAATAATAAAATAAAAATAACATCAATATTATATTTAATAACACATAGTTATAAAAAATCATAATCAACGATTAAAATCACAATATAGCGATGCACAACTTCTGCGATAGCATTAAGGAGAACCGATGAAAAGATTTTTGGATAGCTCCGTTGAAATCTCGATGAAGGCCACGATGCTTTAAAGGTCATTAGCTGAATCTTTCAGGCCACGTGACCGAAACAGTTTCGTATCTATGATATATTAGAAAAATTATTCTAACATATCGTAATGTGTTATAATGTTTCAAAATTTAATATGGAATAAAAAAACATGGAATATAAGATAGAAAATATTAGATTTCATAAGAAATATGAAATATTATAGCTAATTTATAACTAATAATCCTAATGTTATGAAAATCTTCACTATTATTAATTTTAATATCAAATTCTTAAATTTACTTACAAAAATGCTATTATTTTTAAAAACTTTTCTAACAGTGTGGTTAATCCTATCCAGTTAATCGAACAGAGGTTTTTTATCTTTTAGGACTTTCGAAATTTACTTTTTAGAAGGCGTACCTACTTTCCAAAACTTTTGAAGATGATTTATTTTTTTTCTAAGTTTTACTTGCCAGCAAATTTTTCCCGTATATCGTACGTACGTGTGCACGTATATTTTTGTTTTATAACACCGGCTTTGCAAACCAGCTCCTTTTTCGATAGTTACGTAATATTAGTGAAATAAACCGGTATGGAAACGGTATTTCTGATAGTGGGGCTTCAATCACCGGTTGTATTTACACGATGACGACGTTAAAACGCATGCGTAAAATAATCGCAGAGCAGATACGTGTCGTTTATCTCGTTCATCGAACGCAGAAGTCAAAGGTGGTCGCGCAAAGTACGACGCTGATCGACGCTGCCAACTGCGTGCTCAGTGAACACTTCGGCACATCGTGCGTGCGGCTGGCCCGGAAACATCGGGCACGGACACGAATCTGGAACGATTAAGTCTATTTCGAGCGGTTACTGGAACGCTGCCGTAATACTTGAGTCCACGCCCGTGAAAATATTTGTTATACGGCGAGTATCCGGTAAGTGTTTGGTCGTCTCACGGTAACAGAAGTCTTCACCCGAAAAATCGACGATCCATTGACTTTCCACCTATCCGCGTCTCGTACAGCCAGTTGCGCAACACGACGCCGCTAATTCTCGCGCACTACGTATCTCACTTAATGTGCGTTTCATCATCCGTACACCTGCACGCACCTGTCCCGATAATGTTGGCAATAATGTGAGGATTTCGTACTCGAAATAGCAACATGCACGGGCACAACGAGCGTTTGACGTGACGATCGAGCACCACCACGGACATGACAGGTTTGCCGCGCGGAAATTCGTTCCGAGTAGTTTCCAATTCCGGATACGATTTATGAGCGTGGGATTTCAGGATTTTGTGAACTCATTCTCGGGAACCCGACAAATTGATCCCGAGATTATATACATGCGAACAAAAATAAAAAGAATATTCATAGAATTCATAAAACTCAACATTTATTAACTTTCTTACGTATAAATATGTATAATACGTATAAATATGTATAATACGTATAAATATGTATAATACGTATAATTAAATATGTATAATATACGTATTTAATTATACGTATAATATACGTATAATTACGTATAATATAAAATATTATAAATGGAAATGAAAATCAAGTAAGGAAAATTTTTAAACATAAATTAAAATAAAGGATAGCTTCTAGTACTCTATTGAGAAATGAGATCTTTAAAACAATTAACAAAAACTTTTAATAAATAAAATATTTCTATACTTAATGTATATAGACTTAGGACTAGAAAACGCAATTTTAATAATAAAAATAACAAAAACAAAACACTTATACTGTCATTAATATAAATAGATTTTGTGAAAATAAAATTAAAAGTAAAAAATAGAGCTTTTGAGGTCAAAAATATAAATCAACTCTTTTTTTATTTTGAAGAAAATCTTAAAAATAATAATTCACCCAAAAAAAATAATGTATCCAAATTGACTTATTCAGAATTAGATTGTGAATATAAATATATATCTCTAATAAACATGAAAATATCAATCAATATAGATATTGACGAATAATAGTTATTAAGGTAAAATTTTTGCCTGTATGTCTGTATTGTTTGCTTGTATGCCTGTATAAATATTATACAGGTATTAAACACTAAAGGTTGCAATCCCGAAATTTTGGGGTTTGTGGTGTTGAATCTCGAATATTTTCAGGATCGTAAATTCGTGCCGGGGTATCGGGGTTGGAAACTCTAGTCTCGAGATCACGCTTGGTCACCAACCCACAGTCCCTCATGTTACTAGATTGATGCAAAAAATTAGTTATTTTTTTTTATTAATTGATTAGAGAGAGAAAATTCTGTGTTCTGTGACAAGAAATCCTCCGTTTTCCGACCAAAAACATCCATCTGAACATTTGGTTACTTTACAACTTAATTGAGACAATTAACTGAGCAAAAACCTCCTGCACGAAGAAAATATTATAATAAAAATTACATTATATATTCTGAACCAATTGTATATATTAGTTATAAATTTACCCAATCTGTTAACTGGGTCAATATTTATCATAGTTTTTATATCTACATTTTCTTGTGATTGTGTCCTTTGGCCCACTGCCGAGAGAAGAGGAGAGAGAGTTGTGTCTCTCCGCTATAAAATATTGAAATAAGCGCACGGCGTTTAGTCGCTGAAAATTGTATTTCATCCCGGGGCTTCTGTTCCTCCGGAAACATTGATTGAAAAATAAATTACTAAATTAGCTAAAGAAATGCTAAATTTTACGATCTACCAAATGCACGATATAAAAAACTCAAGTGGTTACAACGTGAATGATATTTTTATGCAATAATATAATAATTTTTTAAATGTTAGAAGTATCGTCATGGCTCTGCGCGCTCCTCATATACTGAGGAGTTACAAATTACTTGACTGAGTTCACTAATAGTGACCCTATTAAATTCTATTTTTGTTATTATACATATATATTTTTTATATACTCACACATACATACTCAAACCCAGCCGGTTAGCTGTCAATATTTTTAAAACAAATCTATATATTTCTTTATATTACATATATATATGATAATCTGTTTATTTATATTTATATAATTATATATGTATATAATTATGTAAATATATAATCACCTTGATTAATCAATTACTAGCGAATTAGTAACAACAAAATTAGTTACTAATTCGCTAATGATTGTTTAATCAATGTTATTATATAATTATACTAATTAATCAATCACTAACGAATAGTAACAAACTGGAAAATTTAATCTAGTCTGTAGTAGCTAGCTACTAAATTTTGATTCAGACCGGTTTGCTACATTTCTACTTGATATTCCGCCCATTAATTCCGACAAGTCTTGTCAAAACTAATGGACAGTACGAATCGCTGAAGTTCGGCGAAAAGCGAACGCTTTGTGGACCCAAAGGTGTTTATATATGTATATATATATATATATATATATATATATATATATATATATATATATATATATATATATATATATCTCGGGGAATATCTCTGAAGTTTCGAATATGCATATGTGTGTATATATATGTATGTACATATATATATGTGTGTGTACATATATATATATATAGTAATTCGATACTTGCGCGCGAGCCGATGAGTTCCCAGGAATCCCAAGATTACATAAGCTCCTGAAAGCTTTTCGTTAACGGCTAATTGCCGGCGAACATTGAAGTGCGTGCTAATCATGCGGGCTATTTTCGCGACGGCTGTCGAAAATACTGATTTAGTTTCTCTACGCGCGGACGACACCTCGGCCGAAACTTCGTCCGTGAGAGAGCTGGAGGCGCCGATCCTATTTTTGGAAAAACGCCCACGTACCGCTGACACGTCGCCGTCATCATCATCATTATCATCATCCGCACGTTTCTCCATCGCCGCCGGCGATGTCTCTGCACTTGTTGCGTGCACGCTGCGGCGGAAACGGCGCGTTTCCTCTCTTCTTTTCCTCCCTTCCGCCCGTCCCTTCTCTCTTTTGGCGAAATTGCGCCCTTGTCGCGCATCAGCGGCGCCGCCTCGCCTCGCCTCCCGGATCTCGCGGACACGCAACACCCACGTGAGCGCGTAATAACGAAGAGCTATTTCCGGAGTGGCGATAAGTTACTAGCAAAATAAACTTCAGCCGGCATTCCGAACCAAGAGATTTATTTCGTCGTCTGTGCTATCGTCGAAGATACAGTGCGAGCAAATCTGCGAAGGAAACGCGTGACATATATCGTGGGACCGAAGATAACAAGGAGTGACGGCGGCCCAACGCGACGACGGCCGCTTCGGGGGGGACTGTCCTTGGCGATTATAATTTATTGACGATCGGCGATTTCTCCCGAATGGGTTCAGTTGACAACGACGACGCGGTGAATCGGCAAACGCGAAGGCGCCCTCGTGAACAATGAGTATCGGCTCGTGGCCGCCGCCATTCCTCGTCTAAGAAGAGATTAATTAGCGTAACGTGTAACTAGAAAGTTATTTTCAGCGAGGCAGCCGATTTCTGCGACCGCGAGAAATCGAAAAAGCGACGAGGCCGTCTTCGCGGTGGGCGTCCTCGCTTCTCTGTCCCCCGCGTTTCCCCCGGAATCATTCTGAAACGACGGAAGCGAGCGGGGAAACGACGGAAGCGAGCGGTGGTCTTGGTCGCGCATTGAAAAAGAAATGCTAAAAAATCTATTTGCAGGATATAAAGTTTATTTTCGTAGAAGTAGACGTCACGTGGGTATAAACTTTATTTCACAGAAATAAGCTTTGTATCCCACAAATAAATGTTCAAGTATTTCTCTTCAGTGCGGAGATCGACTGCCGAACAATGGGGAAGCGATTTGCGCGGAACGTATCTCCAAGGCACCTAAGTTGTAGAAAGTACGATAAGTGATGGCGAGAGAACCGATGAGCTTCAAACGAGATGTCCATGGCGATCCTGAGTCCCCCGCGTGCGACACGTGTTCTCATTGTTCTTCAGCCCTAAAATACGACGTATCACTTTTAAAATGTCATCATGCCTGCATTCTGAGGCCGATTCGGCGCTGTACGATCGTAATAATCAACGACTCCGACAATTTATCGGCGCAATGTACACCTAAAAAAATATAATCTCACACTCTAAATTTCTTGGAATGAGACTTTACTCCAAAGTAGTGAAAATTGCGCCAGTCAAAGTTAGAGCGAGAACTTCAAACGAGTGAGAACTCATTCCAAATGAGTGAAAAAATTGCTCGCTTGGAATGAGTTCTCACTCGTTTGGAGTGAGTTTTCACTCGCTCGGAGTGAAATTCTCGCTCTAACTTCGACTGGCGCAATGTTCACTACCTTAGAGTGAAGTTTCACTCCAAGAAAGTTAGAGTGCATCCGAAATCCTTTTATATGGCTTCAGGAAGATTTGTTTACAACCAAAAACAAATATTCCAGATACATTTTTGTTGAAGTTGAAGAAATTTTGTCCTTTATTTACGCTGAGGAAAAAATGCTTGAAATTTATTTGTGAAATATAAAGTTTATTCAAAGTGAAGAAACTTTATGTCCCACAAATCAAGTTTCAAGTATCTTTTTCTCAGTGTATAGTACAGCTCTTCTTCTTAATTAGTAAAATAACTTCAAGTATTCCTCTTAGTTCAAAAGAGGAAAGAATTTATAATTATATCTAGTAGATTTCCGATTAATAGTCCAATTATTTAGAAAGAGGGTATTCTTTTCATAAAAGACTTCACTCAAAGCATGGACTTAGAGGAAATAAAGTACCTTGCAACTATATAGAGACAAAAATTTGTCTGTATTTGGTTGAAGAACACATAACTTCTGGAATCCTTATGACGCAAAATTGTTTCTAAAAGCAGAAATTCCATGTAGGATTTTTTTTCTTGAATGGTAGAATATTTTGGTTTTAGACGAATTCTCTTGAAACCATATATATGAAAATTTCACTGATAATGAAATTATATTTCTTTTTAGTGTAGAATAAGCACTAAGCCAGTGCAAAAGATTTGCCATTTCTCAATTAAATTCTCGTGAAAAGCTTGCTTCCTAAAAAGAAAATAACAAGTACTCGTTAAATCGCAAAGATCTAAAATAAAATTATTAATCTCTCAAAATAGAATAACTTTGTTTTCTGCTTTGTTTGACATTATAAACTTTTTGCACCAACTTAACAAAATCAACAGCTCAAAACGAACGATGCCGAGTAGCAGGGGAAGCAGGGAGAATAAATGAGATGAAAGTGAGTGAGCCGCTCACTGTTCGGAGATTTCAATGGCCAACAATAACAATACCTTCTTATCCCGCAGCCGAATTCCAAGCGCAAGCTTTTGTTATCTTAGAGGAACATGAAGTTTATTTCTAATACTTCATCCTTCGACTAAGAAGAATTTTGTTTTCGTACCACTGTTACTCGCGATATTATTAGAGTCAAGATCGCGTAATGAGAAAATGCGAGAATTCGGGTCACTGGGTCCAAGCCGAGATGTCATTTCGCGGGTAAAAATCAAGAGCCAAGTATATGTGACTGACACTTACCATGATGAGGAATGTGCCGTGTTTATTAAAACATCCCCGAGTATAGTAACCAGAGCGAGATCAATAGGAGAATAAGGATCAAATACGTCATCAGAAGGTTTTTCGTTTCGTGGTCCGGTTGTGGCATTTTCTGGCCGGTAGGGGCAGCACACTCTGTCGTTACAGGTGAAATTCATTACTCACTGAACGCACCATCCTGATTGCTTCCTGCTCCCATTCTTCACAGCTCGAAAGTCGATCGATCGTTCCCCGCGAACTTAGCAAGATCGCTTCGCAGTGTGTAAATTAATTAATTTACATTTTACAAATTAATCCACAGTAAATTAGTTTGCAGTACAAATTAATTTACAGTAAATTAATCTGCAATAAATTAATTTACAGTGTATAAATTAATTTGCAGTGTACAAATTAATTTGCAGTGCACAGTGTATAAATTAATTTATAATGTATAAATTAATTTACAATAAATTAATTTGCAGTATACAAACTAATTGGCAAAGTTACGATTTCCGGAGCGCCAAGTTTTGAGTGTAGATTTATCATCTACAAACCATTAGAAATAAAAGTTTAAGAGTAGTGAAAGTGACGATGTAATTTATTTTAAGAGATATAAAGGTTTTTAGTTTGCGGAAATATCAATAACGATACGTTTTTGTCATTTGCAGACTATTTTCGCGTTACCCAGAATAAATATATCACGTGAAGATATAGCCTGTTTCGCATTCCGTGTGTGAATATGTGATTTATGTAAGTGTATATATGAGTGTATGTGTGATGAGTGTACCATATACTAAAATGGATACTGAAAATATTAGCAAAGACCCCTACGCAAGGTGGAATTGTATCCAAAGCAGCATACACATGACACACCATACAATGTGTACATTTTTCTTTTTTTTTTTATTAGAATGTTGCTATGCGACTGCTGGGCTTTGCACGTTGGAACCCCCTTTTGTCGCTGCTTGTCATCAATATGACAGTTTTCCTAATTTTTATAATAGTCAACTTTATTAATTAATATATATCGATTAATATATATAGACAAAATATGATTTAATAAGAGAGTGACGCACGAAGTCACGAGAACGCGAAAACGAAGTCGTAGCAGCGTCGCCGTGCGTGCGCCACTCTCCTAGTAAACTGTACTCCGTTTTACATTTTAAGTTAAAAAAAATTAGTGTTTTAGGCATCAGTTTAGGTTAGTCTATAGTCTGAGCTATAATTACCACCTAATCTACCACTATATTATTTGTAATAACATGAAAAAATAGTCTGCAATAATCTGCAAATGGCATAAATGCGTCGTTATCGATTTCCGCAAATTGCAAGTAAAAACTTTTATATCTCCTAAACTAAGCCAGATCGCTACTTTCGCCACTCTTGAACTTTTGTTTCTAATGGCCTGTAGATGACGAATCTGCAATCAAAACTTGGCGCTCCGGAAATCGTAATATCCCCAACTAATTTACAGTAAATTAATTTATAATAATTTATAGTAAGTTTTCCTTTAATTCTCATTTTGATGTCCGGAATTTGTTATTCATATTACATACATGTCTCATTGATATTATTGTCGATTGCAGGCGAGCGATCGATCGATCTTCACTCGAAGAACGACTATACTCACAAATGATTGGATTATTATCGCGAATTAATGGCGATGACGTTCGAGTCTTTGTCGTGGTAACAGTTGTGCTTTAAAATCCAATGTTATTGAATATGAGGACACCTGGCGGGGTGACTCCTCTCCTGCGTGAATTCCCCAAGACCACTCGCTCGGCTTCAGCGACGTGCGTGCCACACCACTTCGCGTACGATCGTAGACTAGTGTGACGCGACGCAGGATCCGCGCTCGGACCCCCGGTGATCCCGAAATTCCTCCAGGAACCGCATCGCCACCAGCCCCACCCACCCACTCAATCAGCGCTCCGCGATGAGCGGCGCTCGCACCTTCGCGCGAGAGGCACCATCTCGCCCCAGGATTGGTAGAAGACGAGATCCCACCACTCGCGGATGTTGCTCGAGCAACGAGTTCCGCTACCTCGAGTTATATTAAGGCATTGTGGAGAAGTTTCGCTTGACAGAAACGCCGCTAAATCCGAGCCCGGAGCCGCGAGGAGGCCGCGGATGAGTCGACGCGATTGTCGCGTGTGTGATCGCTTCGAAATCGAGCGAAAAGAAAAGCGGATCGCCGGAACTTCCAGATGCCGGCAGGACGTCTGCCGACGTCGGCGAGGGTATAATTACACAGGAAGAGTCGCTCGAGCAGGCAAGCGGCGCGAATCGAGCCGAGGCTTTCACTCCCGTTAGCCGAATGTGTGCCAATACGAAGGTGCCGTCCGTCACTTTCAAGCTTCCACCCTAAATTTAGCTCGTTAGCCAAACATCAATCTCGATAGACAATATACAGACATCGCCGACCTGAACCTCCAGCTGGCGTTATGTAACGCGTCTCCCGCGCGCGGCCGCTTCGCCGCGATTCACCGGCCGCGCTTTCAGCGGGAAAATATCGTCAATCACGGCAACTGGTTTAAACTTAGATTGAAACCTGCGGAGCGTATCAGTGGCGGAAGACCTGCCAGGTCGATTCACCTCGGATGCTCGTCGAGTGCGAATCGCGACGGCCATCCGGCTGATCGATTCGGCCGGACCAAACTGATCGGCCAATTAAAGCGATCGGCTCATGATGTCTTAATTAATATTTATTGCTGAATAATGCATCACGCCCCTGACAGCACTGTCTACACTGTACACACGTGTTGTGGCGAGCGATCGATCGATCACCTGGTAACTATGTAGCTTCGAAGGTGAACACGCATCGTCTCCGAAAAATCCGAAACTTGACAAGTAGGACAATTTTCTGAAAAATCATAGTCCAGAAATTTATATGGAAAATAATTTGGAATCTTTTAAGTTAATTTATTAAATTTTTTTATTAAAAAAAGTTAAAAATAATAATATTAAAATAATTTAAATCTCTTTATTTAAAATGTTTTAAATAATGTGTCAATTTTAAAACGTGGTAACGTTTCAAAGTAAGGATTTCAAATAATTTAGAAATTTTCTTTTTAATATTTTATGAAAATAATTTAAATATTGACTCCTTAATTAGAAAATTATCCTAATTAAGGAATTTATACAATTTTCCAATCCGAATTTTTCCTAGACTTTTTCGAAATATTAGAAGAATGCGATTTAATTCAGAAAATTTTTTAAATCAATGCAACGAAACAATTTACCGCAAAATACAGCTTTCTCAAAGTGATAATAATAATAATAATAAATATTTAATAATAATTATAATCATACTAGATTTGAGGCTTTCACGGCCATTGATACAATGTCTAGATATAGCTTCCGGAATGGAGCCGTGTCTTGAATCAGCGATATGCCGACATTTCGCAAACGTTGCAGTTTGTATCATCAGGGCTGAGAACTCTGATACTGTATCAGAGTTCTCAGCCCTGATGATGCAAACTGCAACGTTTGCGAAACGTCGGCATATCGCTGATTCAAGACACGGCTCCATTCCGGAAGCTATATCTAGACAATTATAATCATAATTAATGATATGGTTAATTATAACTATAATTACAATTAATTATATTAATTATATAGTTATATAAATCAGTAATAACTAATTATAGTTATATAAATCTATAATGATTAATTATAGTTTAATCAATAAAATCAATTTAGTCATTAGCAAACTTAAAAACAGCAATTGACAGTTTTCTCAAAATAATAGTGTTAATAATAATAACAATTGTTTCCAACAACATTTTTCAGAACAATTACATGCTTTCAATCTTCCAAAATTACATGCTTCAAGAAAATTATATTTCGAAAAATTACATGCTTCAAGAAAATTATATTTCGAAAAATTCAATACATGTAATTCGAGATTATTATTATGATTTTTCGAAAAATTACCACGCTCCTTTTCGGAATGATGCATATTCACCGTTTCGAATCTCGACTAACTTCACGCAGAAAAATACGAGACAGCTCTCTCTCACACTCACGTGCGCGCGCGCACACACGCACACACAACACACACGCTCATATCGTTGAAAAGCCGTTTAGTTGGATTAACGAAATTTCTGGTGAAGTATAAACGAACTAGACGATTTCGGCTAAAGTTACCAGAATTCCGTTTTAGTTAACCAAAAATCTTGTTAACATGGACAGAATTCTGATAATAAAAATTTTTGGTTCGTTTTTCATGTGTCAGCACAGAAATTTGGTTAAACCAACCAAGCACTCCTTTTCCCGCACATAAATATCGTCTATATGTGTGCAATTACAAATGTAAACGCAAATATGGCAACGCACGAAGAGCGGTAACCGCGGCGCACGGTGCGACGCGGCTCGAGTTACGTAAATGGCGAAGCGAATCTTTTGTTGCACAGATTAGTCGAGGACACCGGGTGTGCCGAAGTACGCGTATAAATAGAGGAATATCCTGAGATCGGCACTTCGTCTTCTTACATAAATTGCCGATATAAAAGTTGCGACGTATATTTCACGCGGCTTAATATGCGAGACTCGGCTCGTCAGAGAAACCTGCGGCGACTTTTCTCTTGGCACGAGCAAAACGAGCTCTTTTATTCGCCTTAATACCCTTAAATTCTTGGCACGAGGCTCCGCTATATGTTTAAAAACACCGTAACTTTAAAAATAAGCGATACCGAGCCACGGGCGCACGTCTCTGCGTGAACTTAAACGCTTTAGACGATTAAAAATGTCACACGAGTGTGCGCATAAACGTATTAATAATTCGGAACGAGTCCAATGTGTATGACTTTCCGTGTATGAGAGAACCATAATCGAAAAATTAGAGACGCGCGCAATTCGTGCTCCGCGGGTTATCGAATACTTCACATTTCGATCGCGTATTCTTTACGCCGTCCTGTAAAAATATCGGTACCTTCTGACACCTAGTCACGTGTGGATGTCAGTTTTGATTGCTTTTTCGTATTGATAAAGCTAGCTTAATGATTTCATCGTGATTCATCGTGAAAATTGTCTTGTCGATTAATCCTTCACGTCGAGCTTACCTTGATATTGCTTTCCGTTCCAGCCGACCAATAAACCAATTTTGTATTTGGATATATTGCATTGATATATAATATTTGATATATTATTAAAAACAATATATAATTAAAAACAATAATATATATTAATATATATTTAAATTTTGATATATTATAATATAATATTATATTATGATTTTATATACTATTATAATATTGTATTTATATTATAATAGTATTATTATTATTAGTACTATTATTTATATTATAATATAAATTAACATATATTTAATATATATTTAAATATACATTACTATATATATATATATATATATATATATATATATATATATATATATATA